AGCTAGTTGGTAAGAGAATTCATAACGTTGTCTCTTTAAGGGGAATAGGTAATGCCAATACGTGCAGTACCGCACAAGTCGAATCAAACATCATGGTTGATGGTAATTCTTTGGCAGTTTTGTTTCATATAGTACCAGATGAGTGTATGAAAAATAATATTGTAATTGGCAGAGAAATATTGGCTCAGGGATTTTCAGTGGAAGTTTCTTACGATAATTTTAAGATTGTTCAAACTAAAATTGTAAACGTTTGTGAGACCATTCAACCCACTAATTTTGATAAAATTGAAACTGATATGGACGGAAAAGAAAAAGAAAGTTTAATATCATTACTAAAGCAACACTCAAAATCTTTTATCGAAGGCACTCCGCAAACGCGTGTGAATACTGGGGAAATGCATATTCGTTTGATTGAATCGACTAAGACTGTGCAAAGGCGACCATACAGATTTAGTCCAAGTGAAAGGGAGTTAGTACGCGCTAAAATTAATGAATTAATTGAAGCTAAAGTCATCAGGCCTAGTAGTTCGCCATTTGCTAGTCCTGCATTATTGGTAAAGAAGAAGAACGGTTCAGCTAGACTCTGTGTCGATTATAGGGAGTTAAATAAAAATACAGTTGCAGATAAGTTCCCATTACCGTTGATATCAGACCAAATATCTAGACTTAGGGGAGCTAAATATTTCACTTCTCTTGACATGGCTAGCGGGTATTATCAGATTTCAATGCACCCTGAATCAATTGTTTATACTGCTTTTGTTACTCCTGATGGGCAGTACGAATTTCTTTCGATGCCCTTCGGATTAAAGAACGCACCTGCAGTGTTTCAAAGAGCTGTGTTGAAGGCACTAGATAGCCTTGCTCATTCGTTTGTAATAGTTTATATGGACGATATACTAATTGTGGCAGAAACAAAGGAAGAAGCACTCGAGCGGTTGAAACTCGTTTTAGACATTTTAGTGAAGGCAGGATTTTCATTCAATATTTCAAAGTGCTTTTTCTTGAGAACTACAGTTCACTATCTTGGGTATGAGATAAAAGCGGGAGAGATACGTCCAAACTCAAACAAAATAGAATCGCTAATGGCGTTGCCTCCGCCGAAGTCAGTTACTACTTTAAGACAATTCATAGGGTTAGCGTCATATTTTCGTCAGTTCATTCCGGGGTTTTCACAACTGATGAAGCCCTTATATTTTCTGACATCCGAAAAGACTAGTTTTGACTGGCAAACACAGCATGAAGAAATTCGCGGTAAAATCATCGGTGTATTAACAAACAAGCCTGTTTTGATTATTTTTGATCCACAGTTTCCGATAGAACTACATACCGACGCCAGCTCTATCGGTTATGGTGCTATCCTCTTGCATCGCATAAATTCTAGGCCTCATGTAGTCGAATATTATAGCAGAGCAACTAGCTCCTGTGAGTCTAGATACACATCTTATGAATTGGAAACGTTAGCGGTTGTGAATGCTGTAAAACATTTTCGTCACTATTTGCATGGGAGAAAATTCGTGATTTTTACAGATTGTAATGCAATCAAATCTTCTCGAAACAAAGTCGAATTGTCACCTAGGGTTTATCGTTGGTGGGAGTTTCTACAAGCATTTGAATTTGAAATTGAATACAGAGAGGGTAAACGCATGGCACACGTAGACTTTCTATCTAGGAATCCGGTGCGTCAAACGAATAAGTCAGTACCAAGTAAAATAGAGGAGAAGCGAATTGATTTAACAGAAATTTCGGAAAACTGGATTCTGGTGGAACAACAAAAGGACCCAGAAATATCAGAAATTGTAACTAAGTTGAAGAATGATGACTTACCACTGGCATTAGTTGCCACTTATGAAATTAGGTCAAATGTTTTGTATAGAAAAATTCAGAGGAATTCAAGAACACGTTGTTTACCTGTTGTCCCTCGTACGTTCCGCTGGTCAGTTATAAATCAAGTACATGAGTCGATCATGCATCTAGGATGGAAAAAAACGCTAGATAAGGTGTATGATCATTACTGGTTTTCTGGTATGGCAAAATATGTTCGAAGATTTGTGGAAAACTGTATCACATGCAGAGTCTCTAAGGGTACGTCAGGAAAACCCCAAATCGAATTACACCCAATTCCAAAAATAAGCATTCCTTGGCACACCGTTCACATAGATATATCCGGAAAATTGAGCGGAAAAAGTGATCGTAAGGAATACATTATTGTACAAATCGACGCTTTTACTAAATACGTGTATCTGTTTCACAGTTTTTCTTTGGATGCTAATACTTGTATAAACGCAATGAAATCTTCAATATCTATTTTTGGCGTACCAACACGATTGATTGCTGATCAGGGGCGCAGCTTTACGGGTACAAAGTTTGTGCAATTTTGTTCTAATCAAAAAATACAATTACATTTAGTTGCAACAGGCGCAAGTCGAGCCAACGGTCAAGTGGAAAGGGTCATGAGTACACTAAAGAATCTGTTGACGGCGGTTGAGACAAGTTCTAGATCGTGGCAAGATGCACTGGGGGATGTACAGTTGGCCCTTAACTGTACAATTAATCGTAGCACTAAGTGTAGCCCTTTAGAACTTTTGATTGGAAAAGTGGCGCGTCCACTGGGATTGATCCCTATTAGTGATACTGAAACTGAAATCGACAAGATTAAATTAAGGGAGCTGGCTGATAAAAACATGAAAGAGGTTGCTAGATATGAGAAGACACAATTTGATAAAAATAAGGCTAAGGTAATTAGATTCAGTGTGGGTGATTTTGTGTTACTTAAAAACAGTGAGAGACAACAAACGAAATTAGACCCAAAGTTCAGAGGACCTTTTTTGGTGGTCGAGGTATTGGACGGAGACCGATACGTTTTGAAGTCTACACAGAACAATAGGCGTTACAAGTATCCACACGAAAGTTTGCGAAAGTTACCGGATGTGCAAATTCCAGAAGAGCTTGATGTAAATAATGAAGAACAAATTCAGTTGGAAGAGCCGATTGAAACAGAATAGTGTTCGTCATGTGATTGACGATGGAAGAGGGTTGCTTTAGAAATGTAAATGAATTCGTGAAGCCAAGTGTTGGGCGATGGACGAGAGATGTAAATGGATTCGTGAAGCCAAGTGTTGGGCGATGGACGAGAGATGTAAATGGATTCGTGAAGCCAAGTGTTGGGCGATGGACGAGAGATGTAAATGAATTCGTGAAGCCAAGTGTTGGGCGATGGACGAGAAATGTATGAAATTAATGAATTCGTGAAGCCAAGTGGGCGATGGACGAGCAGGGATCTGATTATTGTTTAAGTTAACGATGTTTAAAAGATAAAAATGAAAATGGAAGTTTTGTTAAGATAATCCTACGACATATAACAATAGAAGTAACGTTTTGGTATGGAATATGAGTTGAAATTAGTGAACTAAGTTTTCTGAAGTATTCAATAAAGTTATAAAGTTGTAAAATTGCAGTGAAACTGATACGTTATGGTGGACACGAGGACGTGTATATGTCAGAATGGCCGTGTCGGAGAGAAAGGCTTTCTCTGAAGTAGGCATGAGGCTTTATGGTGTGACCATGGGTTGAGCTGGTTACTAATCTTGTAATAGGTACTAGTTCTGGTGGTATGGGGACTCAGTTAGTGAACTGAGTCTGGTGTGGCTTCGTTTGCGTTGCTAGGTTTGGTCACACTCGCTTTTGGCTACCTTCTTCTTTCTCTGGCTTTGATGCAGCGAGGTTGTGACACGTGTGTGAATTATAAGAAGATATGGAAAGCAACATTGGCAGCGAAGACTCACCGCATCAGCCAGAGCTTGGTATGGATCAACAGCGGTTGAGGCAACAGGAGAACAATATCGACGACGTGCCTACAGAAAATATCTGTTCGCCGATATATATTTATTTTCTTTTTCAAATTAATTGAATTTAGTAAAATATTTATTAAATTTAACTAGAAAACCAGTAAGAGAATCTCAAACCCCATTATTTTCCAGGGAAACGCGTCAACAATAAATTCGCGATTTCACTCAGTTTGTTGACTCCTTCCGCTCTTCCTGGACTTTGGCTTGGCTTCTTTTCCTCCACCCACGGGTTCCCTAGAGCTGCTATGGTTAGGACTCCTCTGCGTTGCTTTTTTTTGCAGCTATGTGGACCATTGACTAAGCCAAACAAAGTCTGATGCTCGAATTTATTATGCTCACTCCAATTGCCGGCTGGACCAGCGCGTTTTCCTTTTTTTCTTTTTGGGTTTTGTCTTTGCTTTTTTTTTTTGCTCATGTGCTCTCGCCTTTTTTAATTCAATTTATTTTTGGATTTATACGTATTTATGCACATGGGATTCATTTCCGCTTACGGTTTTCTAACTTTTTCGCGAAAAAAAACGCAACTTTTTTGCACGCGGGCGCGCGTTTTAATGAAAATTGATGCAGCAAAAGTGCGCAAAGGTTATTGGCGTGCCTAAATTAATGTCCTGGATATCAGGGATATCGTAGAAACTAGGAAGTATGGAAAGGGATGGAGACTGCGGCTTGTGTGACCCTGAAGCAAAATTCAGAATCTGCAGCATTGTGTTCAATAAAATTTTGACATTTCTTAATTGAATTCCGCCGCTGCATGAAAGTTTTTGAGCGATGGGCGAACTCGAACAAAAGCCAACAAACCAAAAATCAAATTACAACAAAAGTCAGGCGAGGCAATGAAATTTTCACCGCAGCCCACGGACACGCACATACATATAACTTACTGTATTTGTGCACTGGGAAAAAGAAGATGGAACTTTAATTTTATATATTTTAAATAAGTAAATAACATAAGACTCTATTTTTATTACTCTAAATATAAATATTCTTCTGTCAAATCCAGCTAAGCCGAGATGTAATCCTGATAATATCTTTAGAATTATATTCTTCAATTACCTCTATAGATTCTCTCTCATATTTTTCTCCAAGTGCAGGTACGTACCTGATCAGCACATGGGCAAAATTGTATAACTTCATTAAATAATTGCGCGACCCAAAATGCAGGCGCAAGGACCTGGGGAGCAGCGTTGTCCTGGCCAAAAACTTTTCGAAGGCATCGCTAACTGGCAAAAGACAGACGGACCACCGGCAGGTAAGAAGCCAACTTACAAGCTGCAACTCCACCAGGAACAAGCCACCTTAGGACACCTTCTCCACCTCCTCTTTTTCCTTCTAGATCTCCCTCCCTTGTCCTGTTTTACTCCCTTTTTGTTCTGGTCCGTTTTCAGTTTTTGCTCGGGCATGTGTTGCAAATGCTCAAATATTGAATTTTACGCTTTTCCATCGAACAATTTTCGAGCTGTGTCCGTGCTTGCCAGCCTTGAGGGGGGTAAATGAGGTAAGGTTTGCCATACTTGTAGTCAATTAGGCAAAATATCCAACGATATTTGAGTAGCTGTTCAGGAAATAGTTTGGCACTAATGTAGGGATGAAAAAGGGTTTCCAAAAGTGTAGAAACAAAGAAGGAAATAATAATATTTAGCTTGATTATTTTTAAGGATATTTGGGGGATTTGAAATTAATACAATGATGTGTATTCTTTATTTATAATAATTACTTGGAAGCTACGTTTTTTAGGTTTAGTTTCACTTACAAATCCCTCTTATTAATATACTCCCTCCCCTCTAATTTATTTAATCCCCTCAATTCCTTAACTTCCCACAAAAACAATTAAAACCAAAAAGTTCATTAAGTTCTCATTGAAAAAAGAACATTCATACCCCCCTTGAAACCACCGATATGCATATGTAAAGTAGCAATTTTATCATCAATGCAATAATTTACAAATTATCAACAGTTGCAGCCCCAAACCTCCGGCTCATTTGCAGTAATTTTCAATAAATACCAGCCAGGGGCTATCAACTGTCTGCCATCGGTCGGTGGAAGGTAGGGATTTAGGGAGTTTGGGGGTGACCACACCACACAGAGGCCATAATGCGTGGCAATAATTTTAATTTTAATTGGCTTATTTTATATTTCAATTAAGTGCGAGTTGGCAGCCAATAAGCCCAAAACCAAAAACCAAAACGGCAAACCAAACGAGTTGACAAGGTGTGAAAATATGGAAAATATTTGAAATGAAAATTGCACATCGATGTGTGTGTGTGTGTGTGTGTGTACTTGTGGCGGTGTGGATGTTCATGTTTGCAGTGCTCATTAGTTCACATGAATACGCATACTCATGACCATGTTTTCCCGCGGTTTCACACGGCGTATGCGTGATTTTATGAAAGAGTATGGGGTATTGAATGTTTCCGATAAATATTCCAGAAGGGTTATTAAATTATTAAAGGAGTAATGTAAAATAAATAAACCCTTACTAGTATTTAATAAACCTTTTAATTAATAAGTTAAGCAATAAATTAATTATTAACATTAAGAGAAGCTTTAATAATGTTTAAAAAATAAAAGAAAATATAAAAAAGAGTTTCTTTTCATATTTTTTACCAAATTAAAGCTTTTTTCTGGTCCTTGTACCTGTGCTTGTCCTTCATTGTCCTTTGTAAACATGTTGACTAAACAAACCGCTACCCAAACTACCCTCTCTCCCTCTGATGCCACACGCACACCCTTTGAACCATTGGCCATAAATGTCACGACAACAGCAACAATAGCTTAATTTATAATTAAATTAATTGTTGTAATTACTTCATTAGCGCTCACCTTGGTGGCTTCATTAGTGGCTATTCCAAAGCTATTCCGTTGCTATTAAAGGGGGGGCAGGAGCAGGACTATTGTTATGCCCCATGTAAATGACAGCCAAAGAGGCGACACCACGAATTACACAATTAGGCGACATTAACATTTAATGCGTTATGTTTACCGTTTCATTTAACTGTTAGCCTTGTTCTTCCTTTTCTTCCATTTACCTAGACTATAGTGCCTGCCTCTTTCCCCCAACAAAAAGTTAAGGTATATCTGCTTATAGCCCGGACACGCAGGTCATAAGCTACGTAATCGATTGTTGGCTAATAGAAAAAAATTCTTCGTGGGTACATTGCTATATTTTTATACCGCTACTTTTCTGGGTTAATGAATGTCGTAAAGTGTTGTGAGTGATGGGTGGGATAGGGTTTTTCCTAATTATGTGTAATTAAGTAGCGTTGGAGTTGTACGGAAAGATAGATAACAAATGGTTGTATTGAAATTTTAGGATATCATTTAATAACTGAAACAGATAACGATAACTGTAAATGAAATAATAGTTAGGTAGAATAGGTTTTGGATTTGGAAATACATAAAATCGAAGTATAGGGATGAGGAGGAGTGAATTACAGTTAAACAATCCAAATATATTTGATCTGATTTCCTCCATTTCTCAACAAAAATCTTTCCCAACTTCCTAAAAGCTCCAAATCTCGTTATATCGAATTTTATCGATAAATTAAACTAAATGCTCTGCCCCAGGAATACATATTGACTAATCGAATTGGCTGAATTGCTGGCACTTTTCCTCCCTCTCTCTACCACCTCTCCCCCCCTGCATTCATTCATCAAACATTTACAAACATGGACCATTCAATTAAAATTTGTTGACCATATTAACTAAAACGTCAATCGCCAGAAAGAAAAAACCCGTTTTGCCAAGCCAACCATGAAGGGGGAGGAAGGAAGGGAGGCGACAGGTTTTCCTCGCTCAATTTTCGCTGCTGCTGCTGCTGCGGCAATCTCTTGGGAAAAACTGAACGAAGCAAAGAGAGAGCGCGGCCATTTAAGAGAGCTGAGCACGTGGTTTTCGCTGGAAAAGAAATAAAAACTGTGCCGCGCCAAAGAGAGGTGAGAGAGAGGAGGGGAAAAGCGGGCAGCGAGAGAGAGAGAGAGAGAAAGAGCAAAACGCGAGAGAATTTTTCTTTTTCCCCAAGTGTATGTGTGTTTTCTTTCTGTTGCTTTTGCCGCACGATTCGTAAACAAATTCTGCGATTGGCCGAGCCAGGTTGCTGGGGGGAAATCGCTCTTGCCCTCGCCTGCCTTGGTATTGGTATTCGTACAAGTATAACTGTAGTTGTGTACGTGTATTCATGAGTGTGTGTGTAGTTTTTTGCGCCACGTTTTCCTCTTATTAACGCGTTTTTGTGATTGGGTTTGGGTGCTGCAGCTCCGCTTTTTTTCCCTGTGTGTTTGTGTGTGTGTGCTTGTGGAAAATTGCCTATGCGCCAGCCCCAAACTATGCGAAATGAGTGTAATGAGAGAATGAGTGAGGGAGAGAGCAGTTCTCCTCTATCTCCATCCCACTTGCACATTACACATACGCCGCGTTATCTATGTATGAAATATCTTTGGCTTTTTTTTTTGGCTTAGTTTTTCCCCCTTTTTTTGCTGTTGGCTTTTCTAACTGCGTTGCCGTTGGCCAAAGTTGAGGCTGGAAAATGCAAAAGGGAAAAGAGACAAATGCCTGCCGCTGCTCTTGTTAATGTTTTTTGCGTGTTTATGTTAATCGGCGACGCTGGCAGCTTAGGAAAAAACGCACCCCACCCACTGCCACCCATCTAGTCCTATATACCTAGTCTATACATATATATACTGGGATCTGTAGGTGCGTTGTTTACTTTTCCTTTTTTTTTGCATTTACTGGGCCCAGGATTTTTGTGTTTTTCTTTGCCTGCGGAGTGACTGCCTTGCTCTTTTCCTTTTCCTACGGCGACGCCGACTGCATAAAAAAAAACGTGTAGTTGCCAGGGCCGCTTTTTTAATTGCAATTTTTCATTAATTAAAATTTGCTTAGTTTGCATTTGAAAAGAGATGTTGTTGGGGGGAGAGTGGAAAACGGAAATTTGTATGGATTTATTGTGATTGAAGGTGCAGCAAATTGAATGTGTTTCCCGATTTCCATCCATATGTGTGTGTTTGTTAGTGAATTCAACGGGGGGGACAGAGCTGGTGGGAGATAGCCTTTGATGGATGCACCGATTCTAACGGATTATAGACCAGGAAACAGCAATTACTGTTCAACGATTGCAAGGCTTAAACTAGTCAAAGAACTCTATGCCGTTTGGTAATCAATTGCAGGCTGCAAATAAATATTGAAGACATTATTTCAAAAAATATTTAGTGAACCAAAAACCCTTGAATGTAGGTATTGTTTGTATTCTTTAAAACAATTTTCATATTTACGAGGTTTTTTTAATGATTTTTTGGATTGGAACTATAGGGTTTTTACACTTTATGAGGATGTAAAGCATATTAATGTTTTAAATACTTATTATATTTAAAATAATAATTAAAACCTATTAATTAATATATTAAACTGAAAGGCTAGTAGTTCAGTATTTCTTTATTTTTTAAATTAAGCGTTTTGATGAATTTATATTTATAATCTTAAATAATATATTTTTAAACCAAATTAGAAGCCTTATCTCTGCAATGAATACGGTATTTCTGTCTTTTTATACCTTTGTTTAAATTCATAATTCTAAATTAAGTTTAACTACTATTAAAAATATTTATTAAATTAGTTTTATAAACAAATGTTGAAGTGTTAATATTTTCTATTTTTGAAATGTTTAAATTATTATTTTCTGACTATTTGCTTAGCATTTCTACCTTTACATATGCTTTGCTTTCCTTGAGGCTTTAATTATATTTTCATAAAATTAATTTTCATTTAGTTAAATATTAAATGATTCTCTTTACATCAAAATATTGTAACTAAATCAACTTCCTCTCTATATATCTCCTCTCCAGTTATCTAATACTCCCTTGTTCAGCTTTTCTATCCTTTAACCCTTTATACCATTCAATCTGCCCACTAATTCGCTTGTGTGTGTGTGTTCTTTTTTGTGTGTTCTTTTTTAGGCCCAGTTCCCGTTACCGGCCAACGGCAATTAATGATATGGCCACAGAGTCACAGCCACATCAAATGACATGTCCTGGGAAAATGCACTCCAACTAGCGGAAAGAGAGACATAGACCAACACAGACACACATATATGCATATAGGGAGGTTCCAACCCCATATTCCCCATACCGAGACCCTCTGGATCCGCACTCGTCAGCCAACCAATGCAGGAAAACGCATTTTCCCCAACGAAAAGTCAAAAAGTGCGTAGCGCAGCCCACCCACCAATACACAGACACCGAGCCGTGGAAGAGGGAATGCGATTGGTGGAAAGCCAAAAGGACCTGCAAAAAAGGCTCTAACACATAAACTGGCTAAGGGCGGAAGAGGGGCTGGAATGTCCTGCCGGCGACCACAACAATACAAAAGTCAAATTAGTGGAAAATGCAAATGCATGGCAAAAAACATATACACAGCAAATGAAAAACAAAAAAAAGTGGGCTTAAAAACGTGCGCAAAAAATGTGTGACACTAGAAAATATAGACATTGGATCGGTATGTATATGGACGGCGAAAATTAGTGTGTGTGTGTGTGTGTGTGTGTGTGTGTGTGAGTGTTGCAGGGAAAAAAGGAGCATTTTCCTTGCCATACTATAATTACACGGCTCGGGGCGTCCAGTGACAAAACTGCTGCATGCTTTTAGGCGCCGTTTTTTATGTACACTGTCCGTGTGTGTGTGTGTGTGTGTGATTGCGCATTTGTGTGTGTAAGTTGATACAATATTTTAGCATAAAGTCAATTTTTGATAGACAGATTGCTTGATTTTCATCGACATTTAGCCGCACCTTTTCAGCCATTAAGGCGGGGTTTTCCATTTTCCTTTTTTACAGATTTTCCTAATTGATTTTTTAGTTGCTTTTTTGAGGTGTATTGTGTGGGGTGGGGGGTTTTCTGTGGAAAATTTAATTTTTTCTCTGGCGGCTGTCTATTGTATTTTTAGCCATTTAAGTTTTTTCATAACCAAAAATTGGCTGTCTGCAGTGTAAAGGAAAATATATGCGTTGTAATGTATATATATAATGTTTGTGTTGATTTTATAATTATAATTAAGGTTTTTTTAACAGAATAACAGTAGAAAATATAAGAAAAATATATGCAAATACTCTAAAACGTATTTTAAAATCAACTAAAGTCAATCAAAATGTTTTTTCATTATTTAAAAATGTTTTTTATTGATATAAAGATATCATAATCACTTAAACTTATCAACAAAGGCTTTCTTTTGCTCTTTATAATTCCCATTTAATTTACAAGTCGTTTCCCTTGAAAAAATAGGCCGATGTTGCTTAATTGATAAGCATTGTTCCTGTATTCAGGCCTCCCTTATCTAATAAATGTAGATAAAATGAGAGCACTGGGAACAAGTAAATTCACTTTTTAATCTGTTTAAACAGATCTTCGTACGTTGACGCCTTTTTTTATTTATTTCCGCAGCTATTTGTCTTTTAATTAGAACTCTTTATACTTCAAAAATGTTTATTTACATTCGACTTATCGCTGGCACAGCTGGCGGATAAACCTCTGCGATGGGGGCGGAAAAAACGGAATATAACTCCAGAGTCATGGCTCACGAAATGCATTTGGAGTTATCAGCAGAGGGCCAAGCCAGCATTAGCCAAGTTCAAAGCCGATATCGTGTGCATTTGACAAGGTCATCACCGTCACCGTAGTTGTATTTATTTATTTGCACAACTGCAGACTACAAGGGGGGGGAGGTGAAATCATGTACCAACGGGGCGTATACGTAATGGCAACTTCCAACTGTTTTATCATGGGCTGAAGCGCGGCCTTTTAATTTGTTTTGTTTTATTTTTCTTTTTTTAATTAGCTTTAGCTCTAGTTGTCTTGCCTGATATTAGGTGTGGGTGGTATTATCGTGTTAGCCCAGTTGATTGCTGGCTTCGCAGGCGAAAAGGTCTGGCCAAAAAACTGAAAATGCTTAACCGCTGTCTAATCTTAGTGCTACTGGCACCTGCCGCTCTGGCGGCCTACTTCGGCGGCTGTGATAATACCTACACCTTGAATCCGGGAACCACTTACGTGGAGTCACCTTACTACCCTAGGAATTATCCTGGCGGAACGTCCTGCCGGTACAAGTTCACCGCTCCCCTGGATTACTACATTCAAGTACAGTGCACCATCGGCCTGCCCTCGGTATGATTTATATTTCAAGTAATGGAAGGATAGTTGTAAGGGTTTTATAACCATTATCTTTCAGAATAATGGTGCCTGCACTACGGACAACTTCTGGCTGGACTCGGAGGGAGATCTTCTGATGCGTGGAGCCGAAAATTTTTGCGGCTCAGGGTCCCTTTCGCGGGAGTCCCTTTTCAGGGAATTGGTTTTCGCTTACATTTCCACGGGCACTCAGGGTGGCAACTTCAGGTGCGTCTTGACCACCGTTAAACAGCCTTGCAATTGCGGCTGGTCAGCCACTCAGCGGATAACCAATGGCGAAAATGCTGCGGCCAATGAATTTCCCAGCATGGTGGCTCTCAAGGATGTGACCAAGCCGTACGAGAATTCATTTTGTGGGGGAACCATAGGTGAGTTAAGGATTTATTGGGATTTCCATGGAAAAGCAAAGACAGGAATTAAGATAAGCCTTTAAGGAATATTTAAATACTTAATATATTTTATGTTCATGTTCCAGTGGCTCATCGTTATATCGTGACGGCTGCTCATTGTGTTTATCGAGTGACCCAAGCCACAAATATTATTGCCATTATGGGCACAAATAATCTGAATAGTGGTACGTTTTTTTATCATAACCTAGATGCTCCTCATTATCTCTTCTCACAACTAATCCCCCTTAATATATATTGTTTACAGCTTCCAGTTCCAGGTACTTCCAGCGACATAATATCCAACAGGTGAAAATCCATCAGAATTATAATCCAGATGTCAACAACGATATTGCCATCTTGAAAACGGCCACTAATATTGAGTGGTCCCGTGGTGTAGGTCCTGCCTGTCTACCGCCTGTGGGAACGTGAGTAAACATCCTAATCCTAACAATACAAACTAAAATTAATATTACTTGCAATTCTCATTAGTATACAAACATTTGCCTATGACACCGTCGATGTAATTGGCTACGGAACCATCTTCTTTTCGGGACCCGTTTCCAATGGCCTGCAAAAGGTCAACCTGATGGTGGTGAACAATCAAGACTGTCAAACTGAATATTCCGATGTGAATATCTACCAGTCCCAGATGTGTACCTATGATTATTCGGGCAATAGTCGTGACTCCTGTCAGTATGATTCCGGTGGTCCAGTTATCCTGCGCAAGGCCAGACAGTTCCTGGTGGGAATCATTAGCTTTGGCAAGAGTTGTGCGGAATCTGCATATCCGATGGGTGTTAATACCAGGGTTACTAGTTTTGTTAGTTGGATTCGAGATAATAGTGAGAACTCCAACTGTGTGGTCAGTTTGTAAATGGAAATAAATTTGATATGATTTGGATTGAATTGGATGTGGAAAACAATGTGTTTTTATTAAGAAAGAGAAGTGTTCTTTTTTTAAACGCATTTTCCAGTGCATTACAAAATTAAAACCAGAACACTTATCTTACCTTGACTTCAATATCTACTTTTGCTTTATTTAATATTTGTTAATTACAAATATATAAAGTAGATATACATTTCTCTCTTATCAGTTTAAGAAATTTGTATATAAATGCCAGCACAGAGTCAAGAATATGCATTTCATAGAGCTCATTTCCATCATGTGGCATTTTCCGGTGTTCCTCTTGCTTTCAATTATCAGTTTAGTTTTTGGCCAGCAACAGTGTACCAGGCACTATGATTTACAGTCTAATCGAGTGATTAATATAAGTAGTGCCAATTATCCTTTGGCTTTACCAAGTGGCAGTAATTGTAGGTTTCGTTTGAAGGCGCCCAGGAATCATGTCATCCATTTGAATTGTCGTTTTGAAGTGGTGAGTTCTATATTTTTAAAAATTTCTATTAGGTTTCTACTAACCTATAAGAATCTTTTAAAAACTTTTAAATTTATTTATCCTATTCCCAATCATAGTTCCCCGATACCTGTGGCTCTGAGTTCCTGTTCATCTCCCGCGATGGTGACCTCCAGTTCCGCGATGGCGAACGCTACTGTCGCATGGGTCAGATCACCAGGATCTCCAACTTTCAAGCCATGGCCTTTGCCTATTATTCAAGCAGCCCTGCCACCCAGCAAAGATCCAGGCTCAGCTGCCAGGCAGTGGCTCGTCCTGCGCCCTGTGACTGCGGTTGGTCCTTGCCGAATCGCATTGCCAATGGCATGGAGGCGGCCAAGCATGAGTTCCCCTCCATGGTTGGTCTAAGGGATCTCACCTCAAATTTACCCATTTTCTGTGGGGGCAGCATAGTAAGTCAGCGTTTTATAGTGACCGCTGCCCATTGTACAGCCCGCCAGCCGGTAGCCAGTCGCCTGTTGGCGCTTGTAGGAGAGCATGATCTAAGCAGGGGTAAGGGGGATATCTTTGAATCTTTATATCAGTAACTAACCTGTTTCATTCTCTTTTTTTAGCTACCGAATCTATATATGCCGCCCAGCATCGCATTCAGAGTATTTTCAACCATCCCGGCTATAGGGAAACCACCAACGGAGCTAATATCAATGACATAGCCCTGCTGTACACAGTGACTCCCATAGAGTGGTCAAGGGGAGTGGCGCCTATATGTCTGCCAGTGCGACAAGCGTAAGTCTAGAAATATCTAAAAATATTTAAATAAATATCTTAATTAATATTAAATCATATTCTTTTAGAGAAAGCAACTTTAACTATCAGAATGTGGACATTATGGGCTGGGGCACCTTGGGCTTTGCTGCCTCCAAGTCGAATACTCTCCAAAAGGCTACCCTTTTGACCATGGATAATGCCGTGTGTCGCAGCCAGTTCAACTCCAGCATCTCACCCAGCCAGCTGTGCACTTATGATTCCCGAGGCAGGGGTCAGGACTCGTGTCAGTATGATTCTGGTGGTCCTGTGATCTTGAGGCAGCGCGAACGTATGTTCCAGCTGGCAGTGATCAGCTTTGGACGGACCTGCGGTCAGCCCTTTGGAATTGGGGTCAACACAAGGATCACATCGCATCTTAACTGGATGTGGCGCTATGTGGGCGGAGGGGTGTGTATGAGATAGGGCAGAGCTTTGATTGATGTCTATATAAGCACACACTGAGGGGAAAATTATCAACCAAAGGAAACTTGTTATTAAACAAAATAGTAATAGAAAAATAATGGCGAAAGAAATCCTACTTTGCTTCATAAATTATGGTTGTACTCAATTTAAAATACAATCTCCAGAAATCTCAATAAATCTCATATTACATTTAAGCCAATTATTACCATTACTTATAAACATAATAATTTACAATACTTTTCCTGATTTCTTAGAATGCACACACATATAAGCCTTTGGTATGTATGTGTACATCCTTAGACCAAGCTCCTTGCAGTTGCCGCTGGCATTTGTCGTCGTTGTCTTGAGTTTGGCAAAGTGTTGACAAAGGCCTTAATTTGCATTTAAATTAAAAAGCAGTGACATGCTTCTGCCTACATTTAAACAACGCAGCATCTCAGCTTTTCCCCGCACTAACCCAATCATGCCCCCGCTGGCCATCAAGGACCGCCAGGCATAGTTCTTTGTACGCAATAAAGTTTTATCAAGTACTCTATATGGAAATGGGTAATACTATTATATTATTAAGTATAAAATTAATTATATTGTGATTAAATTTAAGAAGTAAATGGGGAAATAAGGTAAAATTAATTTAGAAGAAAAGAAAAACGAAGAAGTTTCAGAATGAAGCTAAGGTTTCCTTTGCTGATAAGCTTGTACCTTGCAGGCAAAGCGTGAAAGAGAGAGTTAGAAGATAGAAGATATACAAAAATATATATTCTTAAGAGATCATTTAGAAAGTCAAAGAATTCTCATGGGAAACCACTCTTACCAGCTCTTCAAATAAGTAGCTCTTGTTGTTAAAGTATTAACTTAAAAATTGAAATAAATAAATTATAAAAAATCTTAAATTAACATTTATTTCAAGCTTAAAATTTTCCTTCATTTCACATAATGAAAAAGCATTCAAAATGCGGCCTTAACTCAATTGAAATTCCCTTTCTTAGTTCAGCATTTATTGTAAAATTGTTGTAATTGTGCACTAACTCAATTTCATGTCTCGCAGTTGTTGTTCTTTGCATTTGAAAATTGCGTTAAACTCGGCTCAGGAAGGACCCCTCTCACCCCTTTCTAACCCAAAAAGCTGATGTAAAATTAATAAATGTTCATGTGCTTTATGATTTTTCAGGCTGGCTTTGTTGTTTAATTTGCCCGAAAGTCTCTGGCTCAATCAAATTGAATTCCTTGTGGCTGTAAATAAATTATGTTATTGTTTGGGTATAGTTTTTATTTAGGTCTATCGAACTATCTGGGCTGGCTAAGAAATAAAAATGAAATTTAGGGCTTAGCAGGCCGGGACTTAAATGTCAGTTGGCCTGATATGACTTTCGGACTTGGACACTTTTCACTCTCAAAATTGTTGTATCGTAAATCAGATCCCCTGGAGCGAGACTTATTTTGAAACATTTAAAATTTCTGTTTTTGTGGATCCGCTTTGCGTTCTACAATTGTTTTCGGCCGAAAAACCAAAGTCAGAAAAATTAGTAATCGCGAAATTAGTTCTTGTTCTTGACGTGGTAGTCCGAAATTAAGCCAAAAGCAAGATGCCATTGCTATCGAAAAACCTGCCAATGATACGCCAGATGCGAACGCTGGCCATCAAGGCACGGCTGGAGCAGGGTCAGCACACCAACAGTGCCATCCTGAAGGCGAAGTCCTGGTGCCAGGATTGGCCAGCGCGCGAGGAGAATTACGCTGCTGCCCAGCTTCAACGGCAAAAGCAGCCCATTCGCACGTTGAGCAACCGATCTCCCTCGCAGCTGGACTTGGGCATGTTCCGGCCGGTGAGCATGCCGGACCAGGCCTATGTCCCAGCACTGCCCAACCGTAACACCACGGTGGCCGCCCAGAACGCCCGAAGGGGAAGGGCTGTCCGGGCAGATCATATGGATCGCAGAATGGATATGAGCGACTATAGGCAGGAGATGATGGCTGCGGACCGCGTCGACGAGGCGGAGGCTGATCCAGAAGCGGAGCTGTCACAGCAAGAGCACAGGATGGAGCGCAGGCCAGAGATGAGGACGGACCCGGACCACGACTTCGAGTCGGACCTGGAGGTGCGGTCTGTCAGGGAGGCAGTCTTTGGGATGCCGGACGACAGCGAAGAGGATGACCGGCTGCGTGCCCAGGCCGATACGGAGTTGCTGCGTCGGGTTGCGGCCCAAAAAGTCAAGGAGCCGCCAACGCCCCCCATTTCCCGGAAGGTCATTCAGCCGTATGCCTCATACCGAAACCACCGGACCCGTTGGGCAGAGTTTCGACACAGCATGATCTATGGACGCAGCATTTTCTAGATGCATCGTTATCCCAAATGGCGTCGCTGGTTTTAATAGGACATCTAAAGGCCAACAAGGAACAGTTAAAATTAACAGTTCAGTTCAAATTAACAATGAGTATCAGTTCAAATTACTTTTTAGAGCTCATTTAGTATCATTTTGCAATACCTAAAATCGTGACTGTATTTACCAAAAATGATTTACAACCTATAATAGTGTGAAAAACAAAAAAATACAAATATAATTTACTAAATGGGCATCTTTTGTTTTCTTGGAAGCATTTAAATCCTGAGGAAATAAAATATAATATACGGAATATATATCCTATTCCGATTTTTATTTTATTATCGATTTTTTATCGAATTTTTTCGATCTATAAACTTATTTCAATCACACAAATCGAGACTTGACACTTAATTTTAGTTTTTAATAAATAATTTTTAAAATTTTAAGAACTCTTTTAATGAACATTTATTAATAATTATATTATATTATATTTCAAAAAAGAATCTTATATAATATTTTTTATTAAATTCCTTATTTACTTAATTTTAAAAACTTAACCCAGTAACCTTTCTAATCATTATCAATTACCATCCCCTTATTTTTTGGAACCTTTAACAAAATTCAAAATTCTTCATTTATTTATTTACAAATCCAGCCATGAGCCGCATTCTAAAGGGACTTTTTGGCAGAAGGATGACGGTGGCCAGTAAATTACCAACGCGCCCAATGGCCAGCCAGAAGGTGGCCTTTGCCCATCCGGAGAAGCGTCGCACCTTTCCACTCGTCTACTACAATTGGGTTGAGCAGAAGGTAGCCCTGGAGAAGGTCCAGAACCAGAAGAGCGAACCCAAAGTTGTAGCGTCTTCCCCTAAGAGGCCACGCGGTCGAAAAGAATTCTTGGGGCACTTGATTCACAATCGGAAAATCACCGACATTGACGATATGCAACGTTGGTCGGAGTTTCGTCGGAAGTTAATCTACGGCACTTACTAGCCAAGGCCAAGTCAAGTTCCTAAAATAATATATCCTTAAAAAAGTGTCTTATGGCGAGTGTCTTGCACTGTGAAACTTCCTTTGGTTAGGGTTGGCTTTTTACCATTAAAGTAATTTTTGATGGGGAAACCAATCCTAGTCAAAGGAAATTTTATCCTGCAATACATTTTGTGAAAACTTAGAGCTGGAAATAAAATCATAAAGTAATTTCATGTCTACTAGAAGCCGAACCTACCTTTAGGCACCTTTCCTTCATTGTTTTCCCTTACTTTACCCCTCTCCAAGCCCACTTTATTATTATAACCCAAGTATTCTTAACCCTTTTTGCTACTTAACACGCAAGTTTGCTCTCCAGAAACTAGCGACGACATACTTTGGCATATCCTTCGCATATCCTTCTGATCTGACTCAGGACAGAATGAAAAAGTGGCAAAAGCAAAAGAATGGAAAGAGCGACCCAAGTGCACTCAAGTAATATGCTTCATAATTTTTATTGTCAAGCCCTTTTCTTTTGGCTCGGGTGGCACTGGCGTGCACTCGACAACAAAAGCTCAAAAGCGCTTGGAAAATGCAAAAATATATAAAAAAAATACAACAACAAAAAGTATATAAAAAGCAAAGGCGGAAAATGAAGTGCCCGGGACGAGGGGGCACGGCAGGAGAGTGCAACAAAGCAGAGCAGAACGGGCAGCATAAATTTTATAATATAGAAAAAATCAATGGACAATGGTTGGCAGGAAAAAAATGCAGAGCACCAAGGATTACAAGCCAGGACTAGACTGCCGAGGGTCCTGACACTTCTCATGCAAAGCACTGTCCTACTAGCCGACACGCAGAGAAAAAAGGACTCATCGTGTTATTAGAATCTTATAAGAAATACGTTTTATAACAATAATAAAAACCAGAAATACAAAAAATATATATTTGTAATACCTAATTTACAAGATTAAAGAAAAGTATTAAAAGGAAAATTATTATTATCATAAAAAAACAAATTTCTTTCTCTGTACCCCTTGCTGCAAAATCCAGTTCCTCTCTTCAAAGTTGCACAATTAACTTGCCCCAGCCAAATGCTGCGATTTCGCCACTCGCCACTCTCATTGTTGCCAGTTAATTTTGATGTATTTTTTATTGCATTGTTGCATATTTGCATTTTCACTTCCATTTTCCATCCACTGCACTTGGCAGCGTAATTAGGCGCAGGACTCGTTTCGCTCTGGCTTTGATGTGCCGCCGCGCTAAGCGAATTGGGCTAAGTAAGGACAAGTGCCAAAAAAGCATTTTAATTGATTAATTATGTTTTGTGTTTTGTGCTTTAGTCTCAAGAGCGAGTCACAAGGGAGTTTAAATGTTTCAAAAATATTGCAAGGACTTAAAATATATGTACATACATAGTAGGCGTAGGCTCAGTTGGGAACAGTTTCCAAAACTGTCTTACACACACATTACATCAACATAAGCTAGTGAACAATAGCACTGTAAATTCATATATTTGTATTTCTTTCGGCCTCTCTTCAAAGCCATCCACAAAATTCAGACAAAGTAATAATCCAATCCGAAAAGTCCAGAACCAAAATCCAGAGGTATCCATACTGTGATGTTACCCACCAGGCAGACCATGACACAGGTACACAGGGCGATCCACCTCAAGAGATCGCTCCAACTGGCCGGAAGGCAGGCCGAGAGTGGAAAGAAGGTGATACGGAAGGTGAACGAGTCCTTGGGCGAGCAAGGCATTCAGAATCCCGAGTACCATCGTGCTCCGAATTGCTATGTGCATAACTTCAAAAATCATCAGATGCAGATGCTACGTCGTGACAATGTCCAGAACATTCGCTGCAGCAATCCCCACTACCGTTGGGCTGACTTCCGCAGGCGAATGGTCTATGGGATATAGGGCGAAATGCTTTTAGATATGAAGTTTGCAGTAAGAACCCGAACCTATGGGCACGAACCTTGCCAGAAACACCTTGGAATCCAGGGACAAGCAACCGTTAAAATGTTCAACCGTTCAATATTAATAAATCTGAATATATTATAGCAGTAATAAAGTAAAAAAGTAAAGGGAGGCTTTACTTTAGATATATGATATCATATTTTAGGATATAATGCTATGCCTAGACGACTATCTTTTAAACCCTATATTCAAGGGCAGAATCAGTTGATTTATTCAGTTCAATTATAAATTTTCTTTGTAATTTGTTGAATTTTTTTTAAGACCATCAGGATAGTCGTTTTGCATAGAAGGGGGTTTTAAGACTAATTGAATCTCCTAGTTATATCTCTAATATCTTTCTAAAAACATCAGGTTCAAAAGTGGTATTTGGGGAGGATTTGGGTGGGTTTTTGAGGGGGATTTGTTATATTTTCTTCTCTTCTTTCATTTCAAAATAAACATTTCAAACTGCAAATTACATTTTATTCCATCGACTTGAGTACTTTTTACCTGAAAGCATATAGAATCTCATGGATCCGGAACCGAAACCGATGCCGGAACCGGAAGTACCTGATCCCTCGTCACCGTATCCGCATCGCTATCCATTTCAATTGGACGTTGTGACAATTGAAGGATGTCGATGAGGATGTTACGGTGCGGTGGGAAACTCAGCTCGTCCTTAACTCGCGACATATCCTCCCCGTAGCCGGTGTCCTTGTGCCGCAGATTGAAGAAGCTCTTGACCAGCAATAACGGTGGTCTCTTCTGGTCGTTTCTGAAGGAGCTGCGTGCCGAAATCTCCACAGGTACTGACCTCAAAGGGTAGGACAGTTTTCGATCCGAAGACAACCAACGCTGCTGCTGCTTTTGTGCCATGAACAAGAAGCGACTTGGAAACATTTTGCGATAGATGGTCAAAGAACCGGTGTTCAGGGATTACACTCAAATTTACAAAAACCAAATATTACTACGCGGATCTACAAAAGTGAGTGTACATAAAATTGATTTTAAAAGAAAGGCAATAAGATATATTTTCTGAAATATGTAAGCTTTTGAAATTATTTATAAAATTTCTAGACATTCTTGTATACTGAAACTAGCGTCAAAAAATTACAAAGCCAAGAACCTTATGAGCAAAAGTTGTTCTTAAAATCAAACTAGGTTAGTGGATTTTGCTTTATTTATCTTTAAAATTTAAATTCACATCTAAGGCTTCCAGAAACTTTCTAATTTAATTAAACACAACTATAACTTTAGATTTGTTCATAAAAGCTTTACGTTTTTCCATTTTGAAAGAAAATCAGCCTTCTGATTAGGCAAAGCATCTGGCATCAATTTGGATTCCATTCGATGGATGGCCCAGTAGCTCTTGAGCAGAATACGCGGTGGCTTCGATGTAACCTCCGGCAGAAACGTCCTTCTTTCGGGCACCACAGGAAGTGGTCTTCTTCTAGGGCTTTTATAGATACACCGAGTTAGAAAGGGATTGGCTAGTACCATAGTGGCGAGGGATTGGCAAAGAGCCATTTTGGGGTGGCCTATATCAAGGTGACTATTTTTTATTTAAATAAAAGCCAAGTTAGAGTCCCAAAAATTGGGTTTCGATTAAAATCAATGAGCCTGCTTTCTAAAATTATTTTTAAAAGGGAAAATTATATTAATAAAGTGTATAAACAAAAGGCTTACTAATTTCTGACCACAAAAGAAATATACTTTTTGATTTTAGCCAAATATTTTCTTTGTAATTCCGAAAAAAGTTTTTCAAGATATTTTCAACTTATGCCTAAATACAATCGTGGACATAAGTATTTTGACACAGCTGTTAGCTATATTCCAGCGCGTGTATCTTAGTACTCGTAAAAGTTACGGGATCCATTTAACTTTGCAGTAAAAGATTCTATTTAAAACTTTAAGAGAGCAAAATATGACACTGATAAGTAAATTAACTTCTTTGCTATGTCACGTGATGTGAGAGATCATGCATTTTTGGGTGGACAAAAATATTTTGACATTGCATTCATTTAGTTCTCATTTGTTTCGTGTGCATTAAAAACAGTTTATTGTTATTTATAACTCAGGCTTATTAATCTGTTAGCAGCTTTAATACATTTTTGTCAATTTTCCTAATTTCTGTACCGTTATTTAATGAAAATATGGGTAAAACACGGGAGCTAAGCCAAATCCAGCGAAACGAAATAGTAATTAAGTACCACTCAGGTATTTCGGTCCAGAACCTCAGCATATTTTATAAAGTACCCCGACAAACCATTTACTATCAAATTAACAAATATAAACAGACAAAAGGGCGACCACGCAAGACTTCGCCTAAACAAGATCGTCTAATTCTTTCAAAATTTAAAGATAATGACCTTATTATACCAAATCCAGCTTCCATGGAAGTTCAAAACGATTATGATTTTTAAATTAGTAGAAAAACAGTTGAAAGAAGACTTAAAAAGGCTAACTTTGCTACTTATGTGGCCCGTCAGATACCTTTCATTTCACTTAAAAATGAGTTGAAACGATTAGCCTTTGCCAAATCCTTTTGAGAACAAATGTTGTGGACCGATGAGAGTTCTTTTGAGTACCATGGTTCAAAAAATAAAATTTACTGCAGATTACCAAAAAATATTCGCAAGAAAGTGGTACCTCTCATTCAACGTATACCACATGGTGGCGGCAGTGTCATGTTTTGGGGATGTTTCTGCTTTAACGGTATCGGTTATTTGGTCCCCATCAATGGGACGATGAATTTGCATATCCTGATTGACAACGAATTTCTTACCGGCGACAGACTTAACAGGCAAGACTTTATCCTGCAGCAGGATAATGTTCCATGCCACAAAGCAAAAATGATAACAACATTTTTCAGGGACTTTGAAGTAAAATCTTTAGATTGGCCACCCAAAAGTCCCGATCTCAAAACGTATGAGGGTCCAAACTTAACAAGAACTTGAGAGGAGACAATTTATTAAGTCGAAGGACTATGGAAGGAAATTTACCTTGAAACGCTTCAAAATTTAGTCAAATCTGCTCCAACACGATTACAAAAGGTAGTAGATGCCAGAGAAGGGATTATTTTTTACTAATTTCTACTCATTATTAACATTTTTTGCAATTCAGATTAAATTTCTAACAAATTAGGTTATGTCAAAATACATTTGGCCTCCCACTTTAATGAATTTGTATTTTTAGTTTATAAGATGTAATATAAAATGTAATATTTTTGTTGTTTTTTATTGTCTTATTACACTATTGTTATAAATAAATTTCATTGATCTTTTTTGGATAAATAAATTAAAGTTTACAACACAAAATGTGAATTTTTATTTATGTCAAAATACTTATGTCCACGATTGTATGTTGTTTTAATTTTAGCTCAGTTTAAATATACCAAAATAAATGCTATTTAGAAATAACAAAACTTTAACTTCACCTACAACTAAGAACAGCGAAATAGTTTAGTGGAACAGCTTGAATTTTATATATATTTGGGTCGGCCATTTTGTATTTTCATTGCTGGGTCTTTGTGAACGACGACGATTTGGCAGCTTTTGTGCAACGCGTGGTTTTATGTAACAGGCCCCAGTCCCTAGTCCCCGAAAATCCCCTAACATCGCCCAGTGCCACCCATCCGCACCCGCAAAACGTCAATTGCATGAGCCGGCACGTCGATATTTTTGCCAATTTTTTAGACGGCTCCTCGCAAATTGCTTTTTGAGCTTGTTAGAGTTTTTTGGCTCTCATACCCTGCCGCACAGATACATGCACAACACGCCACACACACATACACGCTAATGAATAGTCAAAGTCCTGTAGCTGCGGCAAAACGAGAACTAAACGCAATGTTTAGGCTGCATTACGACTGCAACAGCTCAGCCGCTGCCGCTCCTGTTGCAGCAGGAGCAGCAGGCTCTGGGCCGCCATTTTGTAATCAAATGCAGCACAAAAGTATGCAAAGGAAATTGCTAGCAAAAAAAAGAAGCGGAAGGAATACAAAATGCTATACGGATTGGCTTTCTTCTTACAGTGGATAAACGAGAAGAGATCTAGGGAAAGAATTCTGGGTAATACTTAATATTTTAATACATACTAAGTAAGGATATTAAAACCTTAGTTGTAACCAGTTAAAGTTCTAAGGTCCTGGAATCTTTAATGAAATCTCTTGAAGTATTTATTTGTTATAACAATTTATATCCTAGTTTCTGTATGTATTTATTTAGAACAAATATTTTTTAGAGTTCTTGGAGATTGAAATTCTCTTATAACCATTTAATCCCAATTTTATAGAGACCTATTTTCCCTAGAATTTCCTTTTAATCAAACTTACTTTAGATTTTTTACTGTAACTCCCCACTATAGCCCCAGTCCCCTGTGGCAGCCCTTTAGCAACGACTGCTGTTAGTGGCTGCTGCTTTTCAATTAGTGCCACCAGAGTGTACGACGTCCATCCCCCTAACACAACACCCTTTCCCCCCCCCCCCCCCCCCGGTTGCCGCCACCCCTCCACCACGCACACACCAATTTCTATGCGGAGCCGCCAATCCCAAGCGAACGAACGAACGAACACTTGATGCCGACTGCAGTTGACGTTGGCCCGCTCTGGTTCTGGCCGCGTTTTAACGGAAATTGAACAACAGGCGGCTTGCAAGGAAGGCAGTCAGTCGCCGAAACTGCAAAACAAACAGCGGCCAATGCATTGCAACAACTGGGAAATGCAGGTGAGCTTAGCTAGACAGATATACATACATATATAGGGTGGATATAGGAGAGGGTGAAGCTGGAGATGAAGCATTGAAAAAGTGCAACGCCAGAGTCAGGTTACACAAAAAACTCAGGGCTCTACTCGAGGAAAGCAAATAAAAAATAAATTAAGAGCAGGTTTAAGGTTGAAGACTAGGGAATACCCAGGGATTGGATCTCAAAAGGAAATTTGAGCAGCAAATAAAATAAAATAAATTGAAATATAAATTATTTAATACAAGAAGATATTAAGATATATTTTCTGTTTAATTTTAATAAAAATTGTGTTCAGTTTTTGGTTCAAATATTTATATTTAAAAAGAAATCCTATATACCCCTTAAACCCCTCTGATTACCAGGTACAAAGATGCAGACACCAGACTAGATCCACGCTCTCTGTAAAGCCAGCTTCATCTGTTATGCGAAACGTTTAATTATTTATCTGAAAGGAATGATGTACAAATAAAGCAAATGAAAAGAATTTTATCGACAGGTCATGTGAAGGGGTTTTACCACCCCTCTGAGGTTAATTAGTTGACATTTGCGCTTAATTGCAATGCCTCAGCCTGGGGCGGGCATACAGCTCCAGCGAGGCGTTCCAATACGTTCGCATGATTGACAACCGAGTGGTGGTTATCACCTGGTTCTGCTCCTGGTTTCACCTGAAGCGCGTTCAGGCAAAGCGACAAACCTGACACCCACTTTACAGGTGCCAAGTGGTTCGATATTCTGATATAAAGAGGTAGATGCTTCGCAGGCTGAAAGGATACCTAACTCAACTCGGGGAAAATTCGAATAAATGTCATATGCAGTTTAGGAAGGAAATGGGAAATAAATTTATATATTTTACAAGCCAACAAAATGTCTAAGGAAATGTAAGACTTTTAAGGCTTAATTTTTAAAATCAAATATATATTATTATCAAGTCTGTACACCTTCAAGGACCTTTACTTATTTCCTTTGAACTACAATTTTTACTACCAAAAATATGCAACTTCTTTGAGTAATAAATTCTCTATAAAATTCTCAGCGGCTTAAAAACCACAATGGCTTGATATATTATTTAAAATATCCTTGAATCCTTGAAAAACCAACGAATTTAACCGTAAATCAAACAAGTTTTGTTCATTGTTTCCAAGCAACTTTCTTAGCTGCACAATAAATACATAAATCAGAGTAGTTTCCGGGCTTATATTCGGCCAGGACAATAGGCCACCTCGGGGCTCTTGGATCGTATCCACTTGATGAACGAGGCAACTCGCGTATTGACCGATGGCAGCTGTGTGGCGCAGGCTTGGCCAAAGCTAACGATGCCCACGGCCACCAGGCGTCCGTTAATCCTCTCGTAGAGTGCTCCGCCGGAGTCGTATTGACACGTGTCCCGTCCGGGTGTATATGTGCAGAAGGTATGTGTTGGAACTCCAGTTGAGCTCGAGGCCAAAGTTTGCCGGCAAACCTGACCATCGATCACATCCAGGGTGGTCTTCAGCAGGCGGGTGGTCTGGGGACCGCCATAGGAAGTGGTGCCCCAACCGGCGGCCACAACTTGATCACCTGCCAAGGGCAGCTTACGGCCATCCTCCGCAGGCTGCAGTGGCAGGCAGGCAGGACCCACATGGCGGCTCCAAACGATGGGCGATCGTGTTCTCAGCAAGGCGATATCGTTCCTGGGCTGTCCATTCGCCTGGCTGAACTGCTCGTGGAGGATCAGGGCATCTAAATCGTATCTCCTGGTGGCAAAGGTCTCAAAGGAGCTGGCCAGATCGTGCTCGCCCACTACGACACGAAGTTGCGCGGCATTCCTGGTCTCGGGACCCAGGAAACAATGAGCCGCCGACAGCAAGTAGTGGTGGTGAACTGGGAAAAGGGTATAAGAGAAGGTAAAGAAAGATCAACTACTACTATATACCCCTAATTATACTCACTGATCGCTGCTCCACAGAACACCTTTCCCTGCTTCTTGGTCAAGACACCAGCCATGGAAGGAAACTCATGCAACATTGCCTCCTCGTTATCAGGACTGGCTATCCGGGACAGGGGGTAGCGACTCCAGCCGCAGCTACACGTGGGCTGTATGGCCTCCACCAGGCAGGTGAAGCGTCCGCCTCCGGCAGCAGGAGCCAGGGGATAGTTCGACACAATCCGGACACGTTTTGCGGAAGTCTTTGAACTGCGTTGACTTGGCAGGTGATGCTTAAGGTAAATGGCAGTGCTGGACTTTCTGGACTCCTCAACGTCGTCGTAGAGCAGGGAGGCCACATAGGCCAAGGCATCGCTGACGCCCACATCCTGCAACACGTGCAGCACCTCGTCACTGAGGTCCTCCGACTCTTCGGTTTCTTCCTGCTCTGGCTCTTGGTATTGTTCCTCCTCCTCCTCCTCCTCTGCCTCCTCATCTTGCTCCTCTATGGAAACATTTTGTGGCGCCTCAGTCGTCGATACCCCTGAGAGCTTATCCTTCAGCTTGACGGATGACGCGGTGGTGGGTGGTGGCTCTGGTTGGCCGTTGGAAATGTAGGAAATCACGGCACGATTGAGGAAACTTTTGCGCTCAAATTTTCCGCTACCGCAAAAGTATTCGGAACTTGTTAACACCTCGTCGCCTTCGGAATTGAAGTGAAACACCTCCGAGCGGCATTTCAGGTCCGTGGAAAGCTGCGAACAAGTCAGGGAAAATGTAATTGAAGGAAAGTCTTGTACAGAGATGCCACTTGGAAATATTTAAAAAAATAATTCACTCTTATAGTTAAAATTTTAAGTAAAAGAAAGTATTTAAAACTAAAGCACAGAGCACACTTAACTAATCTTGTTATTTATATTCCATATACCGCTTTTAAAAAATCTCCAAAAATGACATCACTTTTCCTCTAACTTCCACTTTCTCCTCACCGTCTGCAGCTGAAGTTCACACTTAAATTGCAGCACCTGATCCTTGGGCGCCTCCACCGCGTAGCGACAGGATGTGCCGACAGGATACAAGGCCGGGTAGTAGGGTGAGTTAATAAGCAGCTTCTGGCCCGATTGCATCTTCACCTGATGATTACACTGCTCAAAAAGAGCCTTGATTGGTCTGAGCCAAACTTGAAGGAACAACATCACCAGCAGCAGTGGTGGCCACATAGCGATCGCGATCTCGACGAGGTCTAAGGCGGAACTGAACTCGCTCCGCCGCCGACAGCCCCTTAAGAATGGTGCAGCCGACATGAGAGCCATCACGCGATCTGCCTACATCTCCAAGTCGAGCTCTCAACACCTCAACACTGCGTCACCCACGCCCTGTTCCTGCCTTCTTAAATACCAGTTAATTAGGGTCTCGAAGAAATCCCAAAATTGTTGCCGACGAAAAGAGTTAAAAATAAAAAAATAAATCAGCCGGCACACGAGCGACTTTTTTTTTTTTGGCGGCTAATTGAAAGAAAGTGCAAGTGTGTCAATCAAAAAAACTGGTTTCGGAAATGTGGAACACTGGCAACTAGGTAGGTTGTAAGATGTGACCATAAAGAGAACTATTAGAGCTACCTGTTGGGGTAGGTCTTAAGACGATCAGTTTCTTATATAATAAGTGGGGTTAAGAGGGATTTGAAATATGTATAAACAAATTTAATATGTGAAATTCTTAAGGTATTCCAGATAAAATAAGTCTGAAAATGTAAACAGAATTCGTTTTCAAGCTATTTGCGATTTAAAAGGTTCATAATCCTAAGAAATCTCAACTTTTAAGCAAGATGTATGAAATAATTTGCAAATATTCAATTAAATCAATAAATAATAAACATTTTAAAACTAAATTCATAATTTTCCTAAATGAATATTTATTTTTCAACCTCTAAAATATCTCTTCTTAAATAGTATATTTTTACAATACAAACTCCAAGTTAATATCAACACTATCCCTCAACATAATTGCTTTATTTTCTATGACTTTTTTATGGCACCTATAAACCTTTCATGCAGTCATTAATTCCAATTCCCCGAGATCTCTTTAAAGCCAACAATTTCGCACCAGTCGAGCCGCCGAAACACACCCACCGAAAGCTCATTTTTTAGACCACTTGCCAGAGCTGCTTAATTGGATGTGCTCCATATGAGTAAAAACAGGGGAAAACACACACAAAACTACACGGGTCCAGGATCCAGGATAAGCGAAAATAGAAGACGAACCAAAAAAAAAAAATATGTAAGCCGAAACCTGGCAAGTTTGTCGCCCATTTTGTAAAATAAATATCAGAAAAAATAGAAAGAAATGGAGGGAACATCGGGGATGGCGCCGCCGTGTCTGTCAGAGGCGCAGAGACAAACGCTTAATGCTAATATTATTTTCTTGCTTAACAAGGGAAGCTCTATACTTAAAGGGCATATCAACTAAAAGGGGAGGTTTAACAATTAAAATAAAATTAAGAAAATAAAAGCGAATATGTATGATCTCTGTTTTTAAAAGGTCTTTCGTCTTAACTTTGTAGAAAAGGCTTTACAACTAAAATGATTAAAAACAAAATAAATTGTTCCTTTTATTCATAAAAATTAATATTAAAAATATAGTTTCCCTTATTTTGTTCTTGCAAAATCCCCGAGTACTTCCCATAAGCTAGACAGAGCATCCCACAGATTGAAGCTACCGCCGGACAACATTCTCCGCCGGACAGAACTCTGTGACTTATTTGCACAAGCCATAAAAAATTTAACTTTATTTCGCCATTTTTAATTTCCTACTCCGCGGATCGCGACGTGGCGCAGCGCATACGGCGTAAACAGTCCACGTTGGACAATAACTACAAAAACCCGGACCCGGACCAGGATCCTAGACGTATGTATCCTTCCAGCACCAAATTCCCCACGCCATCAAAAAAGCCCGCAGAACAATGTTGGTTAAAAAAAAAAGAGAAAAACTGATGCTGTTTCTATTTTCTCTTTTTTTTAACCCCTCCTTCGTTTTTCCGGGGGAAAACAAACAGCAAATAATTCAAAGTGGATACAACTAAAGCAAAGTCAAAGCTAATATACGAAAATGTAATAAAAATTAAAAAGAAATAAAAACGAATTAAAATGAATTTCGAAGGAGCACCAAAGACCTTCTGGCACAAAATAAAAAATATACCTTTGGTGAGGGTTGGGCTCGAGGTGAGAGTCCTGGCGGGTTCACCGCAAAAAGCGACAGTTGCAGGACTTCTTTTTGCGCAGTGGGATGATGACACATGTGAAAGGGTCGATGGGTGAGCAAAATATGCGACCATTTGGAAATATATAGAAGCACTAACTAAGTCCATATAAATAAGGGTTTTAAATGGAGGATAACATAACAAATTTAATTATATTAAAATAATTCTAAATACAGTATAACCTTCCTTATGAATTAGGAAAATTTATTCAAATTATTAGTGTCAATTAGATATTGTAAGGTTCGTATCAATATATATTTTTTTATTGGTATTATAATCCAAGCTAATAAACTAAACAACTACATAAAATATTTGTATATCCTTAACTCTTTTCTCTATTAAAAAAAATATTGACAAATAAAAACAACGACTGTGTGAATAATTCTGTTTAGTTAATAATTTACATGCATTTTTTTTTAATTTTTTTATTATTATGGAAAATAAGAAAAAAGAAGGAAAAAAGTTGTTTTCCCAGTGTAACAGACGAAGCAGAACTCCACAGTGGCGCCCTTGCCGGAATCGCCAAATGCCTGCAACTGCTTATCAAGTGGCGCCCCCAGCTCCGAATTGCAGAACTAAGTACTGCCGGCAATCAAAGCTAGATGGCGGCAACAAATTAACAACAAAACAACAAAATTAAATTAATTTAAAAACTAATACTAATATAAAAAATTTAAAATAAATATGTAAAAAAGGATCTGCAAAAATTTACTAATATTTTTTATATTTAAAAAAAAAATTCTTAAAGTCAACATTTTTGGTGGCTATATGGGCATTTCCATGGTGTCGCACGCGACATTCGTACGCATTCAAAGCAAAAAAAAAGTACATTTTAATTTTATTTCTTTTAAAAATATTAACTTATAGCTCTTGCCTAGGGCTATAATTGGTGTTAGTGTTGATTTTGAGTGTATGCTCAAATTTAAGAAATTTAAAAAAAATTGAAGCGTTCGCACGCGACAAAAATAGAAGTCACTTTAAGCGGCGAGCTGTTTAAACACTGATTTTAGCTAAACGGCTGGGAATATTTTAATGAAACAAATTTTAAAATGTTATGCGATAATGTCATTTTCATATACAGTCATTTACAATCAGAAATTTAGCGTAGTTTACTTTTTATTTAATTTTAATAAGGTGTCGCACGCGACAGTTTTCTCATCATACTTTGCATGTAATTTTTTACTATTTAAGTAAATTAGAAGAGCATACATATATCCATTATATTTTGACTTTTTGCATTCTTCTTGTGATGTTAGTAAACAATAGTCAAAGCATAATGCTTCGATTTGGATGTAATTATCAAAAGAAAACAGGCCCATTTTTATGATGTTTTTCATCAAAATAATGAAAAATCGTGTTTGCGCGAATATGCATTTGAATATTTCGAATTTTTTTTTTAGAATATGATAAAACCCTTCACATTTAATCAATTGACCTTTTCCTAATGTTACTATGTTGGAAAAAAAACATTTTAGAGAAGTTTTAGTTTTTTGGCCGCGGTTGACATTTCTGTGGAAATGCCCATATTTAAAAATTTGTAAATTTTTAATAATTTTTATATGTCAGGATAATATATTTTTAAAAAATTCAAAATAATAAATTTAGTGAATATTTTAATCTTAATAATTTGTAGACAAAACCGTAAAGATTCCATATTAAATTCTGAATCATGGCCTACCATGAAAAAATTATAATTTATATTATAATTATAATTATAATTATAATTACAATTATAAAAAGAATTATAATCCTTGCCGCAGACATAGGTATCCTCCATGAAATGATGTATGCTACCAGCATATTAATATCCTTTTCTCCTTCAATGATTACCTGGCAGGCATTCTATCCTTCTGCCTCTCCTCTTCCCAGACGTCCTGCTTGACCAGCACAATTAATTGACAATAGATTGTTTTGGCCACGGGGGCCCCGGTCTGACCCACAGGAAGTTCCCTGGGCCAGCACAAAGGGAATGGCAATGGGAATGGGAAACCGAGGACCAACGAAGGAGGAGGCATCCTTTCTTCCGGAAGGAAGCCAAGCGCAACAGTTGCATGAAGTGCGGGCACTTCAAATTAATAAAAAGGAACTGCGAATAACAATGGGAAATGAGAGGAAATAGGGACAAGCAATGGTCAGTGAATGGAACGTCCTGCGGAGGTAGCAAGTGCATCGAAGTCCTGGCTGGCTGCGTGGGGTCCCTGGGTCCTTTCCCACAGGTGTCCTGCAAGCCGAGATTTTCCGAGTTTCCACTGACCACTGAGAGAGTCTCGGCTTTGATCGCGGCCGCTCTCGGTGCAAATCTAATTAACGCTCCCCGAAGGATAACGATCGATCAAGGATCTCGAGTTGTGTTTGCTTGCATTGCGATTCGATGCGCCAACACAAAGGATCTCTGGGTAAGCAGGGACTACCTGCTAGTCCTTGAGAAACGCTTGCCATAAGTGTGCGCGTATCAAATTACCATTTCATTTTTATTCCATTAGTTCTTGTCTTTTTCTCTCGTTTATTTTTTCATTATCCTTTTTTCCCAGAGTCCTTTGCTTAATTGCTCAACTAATGTGTGTACGAGAATGCAAATGAAATTCGACGAGAGCGTCTGTAATTTATGGGACAGCGAACATGCTCCAGTCTACACCGAATGGATTCCAGATCCTGGCCACCCACTCGAGATTCCATCCTTCAGACGTAATCCTGACTGATCCCTGGGAGATGCGAGAACAAAGGCAAAATATCTTTGTGCTGCCACAACAAACCAGATTTTCTCAGCACCTCCTTCGGCCGGCGATCTTATCGATGCGAGGGTGGGCCCTCATCAAATTGGTTCCCACAGAATGTGCCGTGGCCCATATTTTGCAATTTAGATTTCTATTTATTTTCTGTATCCTTTCTGGGTTCCTTTATATTCTTCCCAGACAACCAGACAGCCAGCCAGCCAGTTCCGCACACCGGAAGGAAGTGCACCGAGTTTGTGTGAAATGTCCCAGAGCGACGTCCCGGGGGCGGGAACAGGAAATTAGCAGAAATCGGAAATACTTTCTTGTGAAAACGAAATTGAATTAAAATAAGGGAAATAGGGCAGACTGCTAAAATATATATATACCCCTTTATTATTGATTTTACTTAATTTCAAAATTTATTTATAGTTAAAAGAGACTTTTAGCTGTCTTTAAAAGGCTTACAAAAAAAAACAAGATATTTACAAGATATTTAAAACAATATATATAAAAAAAAGCGTGGAAAATATTTATACAACAACACAAAATATATAATATATATCCCTAAAAATTAACCCTATATATCCCTTGGGAACCTCTTAGAAACCAACACCATTTAAACCCTTCCCCCGATCCAAGATCTCATCCACTTCCACCGCCCACCAAATATTCCGAGTTTCCATCAAACCAACTCTGTCGGGGAACAAAGGGGCGCTGAGCGAATTCCCACCACAGGACTCGCACTCAAAGACTTTCCCAAGCCAGACACCTTCGACAAATTCCCATAGCAAACAAATTTGACTTTTGCATACCTGTGCAGCAAGGACCTGTTACCCCTGTAGTCCTCCTCGCCCCCATCCCCTTTATGCATTCAATTCTCACGGCCAACAGCAACGGTAACACTCCAACGCACACACAAAAGGACATCCAACCCTGTGAAACAGGTTGCTGCTTTGGGTTTTTGGGAATGGGAACTCAAATGGGTACCCGAAATGCGAACAGGACGATGACATGTCCTGAAGTAGGCGCTTCGGTTTCGTTTCGTTGTGTTTCGCTTTTATTGATTCAGCGCTCGTTGATCATAATAAACGATTAGTGTAGCAGACGAGAATCCTGGCTGATCCTTGGGCTGCCGAACAGAATTTTGCGCTGAGAAATTCCTCTATTTTTTTATTGTTTTCTTCTCGTTTTTTTTAGGGGGTTGGAATATAGGGGCTGGGAAAATTAGTTTAGCGGCTTTCCGTAGGATTTTCCTGGGCGAGATTTACAATTACTGTACATTTATTATTGCCTTGGTATTTTGATAAGAAATTTTGTCAGCTTATCGGAAGATTTTTTATGATTGCTTCTGGTACTCTGGGTTGGTTTTCCGGGAAAATGAAAACCTGGGAAAATCGAAAGTAATCTTTAAACAATTTTAAACAATTCTATTCAAATTCCTTTTTTGTTTCCAAATCAAAATATTACTTTACGTATTTTTAAGCATTAATACATACAAATGCTTATTATAAAATGCCAAAAAAAATTTCTAGAAATTCCCAGAATATTTCCTGTAGATTTCCCATCAATATTACCTCATAACCTTTTCTTAAATTTTCCTGGAAGCCAAATTGACTTTCCTAATCGACGGCAAGCGTTTTTTACGCAACACTTTCTTACGCAAAAAAAATCCTCCAGCGAAAACGCAAAAAAAGGACCTCTTCCTGGTAACGACAAAGGCTTTTTCATCATTTCCTCGAATGGCAAACGTTTTTTACGCAAATCTCAATGCACTTTTTTACGCAAAACCAAAAAAAAAGAGCCGCAAGAAGCGCTAGAGAAGGGACCTTTCGGACTTCCTAGAAGTCCTAGCCAAGCCCTTCGCTTAGCCGCTAATCGCCTTGCTAATGGCTTGAGGATGCTAGGATATCCTTGCATTATCCTTGCCACCCGCCGTCTTTATTGTGACCAAAACAAATAATAATCACCCATTGCTCATATTGTCCAATGCTCAAACGGTCTTTACGAGCGGGCCCATAAAGTTATCCTTTCTTGCATCCTTTTGAGTCGTCGTTGCAGTCCTTCCTCGCAAGCCGTGTTGTGCCGTCAACTTTGCGCATCGCATCCTTTCGAGTTCCTTACACGGAACTCACTCGCTGGAAATTTGCCAAAATCATAAAATGTAACCTTGAAGTATCCTTCAAACATGAACACATACAGACGTAGCGGTGGTAGTGGGAGTGCACTATAAAGCCATTAGCGCTCCCATCAAGGTCGCGGCATTTGTTTACATTGACTTGGCCGACAATTTAGTCGAAACTACTCAGAGACATTAATGAGGAAACCAAAAACTGGGACAGGCCCAAGGTCTGTCTGGCAATGAAAGAAAATTGGAGATTTAAATAAGTATTTTGAGAATGAAAAAAAAAGATATATCGACGCATTTTCGCGAAAGTATCGTATGTCGAAAAATTCAATTTTACAGGAGAAGCTTTTTTGTGCTTTAATCTCTTAGGAAGCACTATAGAAAAGACAAAATTGAAACTTAATTTTTATCGGAACTATATGGGTTTCAGTTATAATATTTCACAGGGTAGTGAGACATTAGGTGTCCAACAATTTTGCATTAAAATCTCAATTTCGAAAAAAAGCGACATACGATACTTTCGCGAAAATGCGTCGATATGTAGGATTTTTGAGTTGCTTGAGTCAAGGATATTTCTATAAATTAAAGCAGCCTCTTTTTTAAAGATGAAAGTTGTTATTTAGATAGCTTATAAATTGTGTTTAAGTAATGCTTTATTTTTTAATTATATTCTATAGATTTTCATTATAAATTTAAAATTTATTCCTTCAAGGACATAAAGATCTAAAGATCCCCCTTAGAGCCCAATCTAGTTTCCTTTCTTCCATACCAGTTTATGCCAAATATATATGGTGATTTCCTTCCTGCTGTTTCAAATATAAATCCACAATTTACGACATTTAGCTCGCTTCACCGGAATCGTAATTCCTTTTGGCAAACTTCCTTTGTTAAGGAAATCTAAGGCCCAGTCCTGTTTTATGCCCAGTATCCCCTCAGCACACGCTTATGCCACATTCCCCCCACCCAAAGGGACGAGTTTCTTTTGCGACGCAGCCTCGATCGGGAGGAGTCTCCTTCTCCTTTTCCTTTTCCAAACAAAACGGCAGGAGCGTGGCCAGGCATATAGGATATAGGAACTAGGGGGGGAAACTGCAGGACTACAAAACTTTCACACGCGTTGCACACAACCAAAACTCATTTTTTTCAAGGGTGTCTTGAAGAAAATCTTTCGCTGAAGCAAAAACAACAGCTGCAAAAGCAAAGTAAAGAAAGAAAACCCCCTTGGAACAGGGAAAGGTCGTTGCGCCTCAGCGACCCCTGGCAACCTACTCCTGCTACCCCCTTTTAGTTTAAAACCCAAAGAAACTAAAGCAACCAACCCCCTGATTGTACATTTCGCAAGAGATTTCACGACGACGACACTCGCCAAGGGGTGTAGCTTGTAATCTTTCGAGCTGCGCATGCGCAGCAAACTTTTGCTCGTTTTTTAAGGAGATTTCCAAACGGGGTGGGGTTTGCTTTTTCCTATATACAGTATATATATATATTTCTATAATCTATGCATGAAAAAGGTCTGCGCATATATGGGTTTTGTGTGCTGTGTGTGACGTCGTCACACGACTTGGCGCACACCTGGTCACGAGTTGCCATGCGATCCGGCCGATCCAGGCGATCCATTCTGACCTCAGGCAAAACTACCTTCGATTCGTTCTGGCTGAGCGATATGTTAAATTAATGCTTTATTTATGTAGAACGAACGCAATTCTCAACAAAAACCTATGGCCAACAACCGTAATTAGTTTTTAGTTTTGGAAAAAGGAAAAAATGGAAACAAAATACAAGCAAAATATTTCCCAATCATAATCGCTTTATGGTTTCACCTACAAAAATTCGTCAAAGAAAGATTGTCAAAACACTGGCACAGCCAGAGTCGGTTGGTTAGGTCGAGGGCGTTACCTGATTTTTCCCGCTTTTCCAGGAAAACGCGTTATGGTTTTATAGGCACTTTTGCACATTCACAGCGAATCCCCCCCAAGGTGGCATGCATAATGTGTTTATGAGTGGCCAAGGATCCTCCTCCTCTTCCGGGGAGTGTCCTCTTTTCGGCGACACTTGCTGTGGTCAGGGCTCGGCGGTGCTCGGTTTTCGGCCAAAAATCCCGGGGTCCCTAAAAACCCCGAATAGATAATTGGCTGGCAACCATGAAAATGGTTAGAGAACTTTGCTCTGCTGCTGCGTTCGTTGGAATTCCGAGGCTGAGACATTTCACGCCCCGAGTACTGAGTGAGGATATTGTGATCCTTGAGTTGAGCTGGTTTTGAGTGGGTTTTGAGCGGGTTTTTAGTTTGAGTTTTCGTGAGTTTTGAGTTCGAGTTTGAGTTGTTAATGTTGAGTCGTAAGTGAGGGATGATTTTAAGTCATTTTGAGCTAAGCAGTGCAACGTGTCTTTAGTTATAAAATAATAAGCGATACTTTTGACCATAAAATATAACTAACTGTAAATGCATTTCTTACTTCAAATATGAATATGTTTTAATGTTATTAATATTGTTAATAATATTCTATATTTATAGATTTATAGTTTATCTATTAATCGTATCTCTAAAATTCATTTTTTAATACATACATTTTTTATTGTATCTTATATTTTGCATTTTCCCATTCTTTAACTTTTCTCACGTCAGCTTACATCATAAAATTAATATTAAAGATTGACATTTTTAAGCACAAAAAACCCTCCTTCAAGGATTTCCAAATTCAAAACGAAAATCATAAAAATTTCTCAAAAACATATTGACAGTTTCTGACAGATTTGAGACCTACCAGCTCGACCTTACCCCCAGGATCAGCTAAAAAAAGAATCTCTGTGCTGGCATTTCAATTACTTGCCATATATCCTGCAGGACTCCGTAAAAAAGAAGAGAGAAACAGCTGTAGAATTAAGAGGGAGAGCCTCTGGCGCGTGCCAGAAAAAGAACACCGGGCCCCTGGGCTCAATGTAACGTTCATTTCGGGATCACCGATAACAATTATCCAAGCAGGACGACTGCAACTGCAACTGCAACCCTCGATTTTGAGCCTGCGTAAGAGAGAGAGCCTGCTCACTGAGGGTCCTGGCAGAGCTGATGAGGGGGACCCGTCTTTGTGCGGGATCCTTTGCTCAATGTGCATTGTTGAGCCTGCAATGTAACGTATTTTCTCGCAGCTCCTCGGCAGCTGATGACTTCCTGGCACGTGTGTGCTCCTCCGCACTCCAAAACTCTCTCCACCCACTTCCGCCTGTCTAATTCGGCTTAATTAAATCAATTTGATGTGGCTACACAAAACCATCATCATCATCATCTGGCCGACTCCACAATACAACGATAATAACGATAATAATAATAATGCCCAACGTGTCGCAAGCACAAAAATCTGTGGCAAGTGCCTCTTCCTCAGCACAGCTTGCACCATTCACCAGCAATTTGAGCATCAATTATGAGCAGAGGCTCCGAGTGAATGGATTCTGATAGAGTCCCCCTCTGTTTAGGGGTCTCTCCATCGGACGGATGAGCAGCACTCAGCATGCAGAGACATTCAATGGGGCAGGTTCACACAAAAAGAAAAGGGTGGCGGCACAAGCCAAGATGCAGCACAAAAGGCCGACACTGAGGCAGTGGCGTTTACCTAAAGGGGATCTGTCTTCATAAAAGGTAAATAAATGGGGAAATCATTCAGAATTCTAACGAAAAGCCCCCGTTTTCGGCTACCCCTGAACTCTCCAGCTGTGGCATCGGGCCCAGCATCCACCTAACCTACTTCCAGGTCACTTGACGAACTACCACGATACGAACAGACGCCCCTGCATCCCCATCCCCATCCCTTACCGCTTTCCATGGGTGGAGTGACCCAAATTGAGTTTGCATAACCGGCAGGCCGACAGGGGCAACTGTCAATGCCCAATGAAATCTGTTCCCAGGGTCAGGATGGGCAAACCACAAATCTGCTCTTTGCCAACTGTCCCCAATTACATGAAATTATACCCGAAATAGCCCTTTCAGCTTGGATTTTTTTGTTGTTATTGTTTTGTTTGGATCTCCTTTGAGGCGTGTTGCATTGTTGGGACCGTTTAAGGGGCATAATTGTGCGGTTAGTGTTCTTGAGACCATGTGTCAAGTGTCCTGACAGATTGTGGGATAAATGGCTGTCCGAATGAAGGAAAAATGCCAATATGTGTGACGAAAAATCTGAAAATTAAGTAGTGTCAACAGTTTTCATATGTGCAGACTGAGCTTTACAGAAAAATTATAATCCTGTCTTAATCTTTGGTATCTAAATCTATAATTTTAATAGCAAAATATGTATTTTTATAAAGAATTTATAATAGTTTTCAGGTTGTTACTTATGTATATCTAAGGCATAATAAAATGATTCCTTCCAATATTTTAGACCCAAAAAATATGCAATGATTTAAGTATCAGTAATTTTTTGATCAAGACTTCAGCGCTCTTCTTTTTTCAAATCAAAACTGATCATAAATAATTGTTTATAAACTTTCCAGATTTTTCCAAAAAAACAAAACATTTCAATTCCATTTCTGAAATAAAAATATATTCCCACAAGTCCTACAATCAAAAACAAAGGATCGCAATCCACCCCCAAAACTCTCAGGATTCTGAAATTTTTTCACACCTTCGCAAATGATTTGCCAGATAGCGGGATCACCTGTTAATAGCTGCGATTCCCAGGATGTTGGGACGGGACAATGCCAGTATTCCAACTGTAAAAGGCCCAACAAAAGGCAAAGCGAAGGATTTGCGGGAAAGGAAGAAGAAATAAAGAGCGGATGTTGTGCACGCTTCAAGCGCAAGCGTAACGGAAATCAAAAAAAGGACAAAGGATAAGCGAAAAATAGTGAAAAGGAGAGAGAGGAACTGGGGAGAGTGGAGAGTGTGGGTGAGGAAGTAGTAAAAATGGTAAATTAAGTTGTACCGCTATGGGATTGAGATCTAGAGAAAGGTAGAATAAACGGAAGTGAAGGAGAACCACTTCCGATGGATATAAAGAACCACACACTACGTTTGAGAGTATTTCGAGTTAAAGATTTAGGCGGGTAAATCTTAGAATTGTTGAGATTTTTTAAAGATAATGAAAGTAACTACATAGTTTTCGCTTAAATTTATTTTAAAACTTAATTAAAGTTCGTAAACAACTACTAGTTCTTATCACCTATCATAAAATCGATATCCCTGAGTTTAATAGTATATAATGAGTTTAATAGTATTTAAAGATATACCCATCTCAGATAGCAAATTCAATCGATATAAGCAAACCCAAGTATTAGATATTATAACCTATAGTAACAAGATCTGACCCCAAAAAAATATGTGACAATTTTAACAAGTGTTTGTTTGTCTAGCCGCGCCAGATAATTTATGGATCCAGCGGTTTTATCAACGCGACGACATTGCCTTCCCACAAGTGTTGCGTAAAACTTATATAGTATAACTCCCCGATCGCCGCCCGGCCCGATCTCAATTTCTTTGCATTGTAAACAAGAAAATATGAGAGCAATATCGGAAAGGAAAGTCACACAATCGGGAATGGGAGGAGGGTGCCCTTATCGGCGTGACATTGTCTCGATGCGGGGGCAATGGTGGGGCCGAGACTGGAAGGGGAATGGTAAATGCGAATGGAAGTGGAAGTGGCAGAGAACCAAACAAACAAACAATCAAACAAACCAATGAGCCAGCGAGCCAGCGAGCCCATAAGAATCACTTCCCATCGCCATGTCAAATGTCAAAACTCGTAAACGGATAATTTAAAACTGTAAAACGGAAATCTCAAATAAAAACATATAGGATACGACGCGGTTGAAGGTGTCGAATAGTCTATACCCTATAGCAATTGATTGGCCTAAGAAAAAATTAAGAAATTACTTAAGAAGTATTCAAACAGTTCCCTAATAAGTTTGATTTTATTTAATTTTTTTTATACATATTTTTTTCTAAATGTAAAATGTTAATATTGAAACCTAATTGATTAAAACTCCATAATTGCGCCTGAGTCTAGCATACCCTAGAATTCACCTAGTACCTTCATCGTTGAGAGCGAGGCGCAGGCGCAGCTCTCTCGCAGTCACGTAAGTGTGTCAGGCAGTCGTGGGTGTGTGTGGCAGAGGCTTCCCTCTCTTTCTCTATCCCTCAGCGATGTGCCGGCTCATTTGAAACGGTCAACATTTGTTTTTAATCTTAAGCGTTTGCCTGTCGATGGTTTGGATCGGTTTGTGTGTTTTTTTTTTTGCGTTAGACGTGCTGGAATGCCGTCCACAACTGCGGCGAACGGAGTTACAGGGTGTCCCGTCCTCGTCGCACACACTATCGCCAGATGGATGCCACATGAAGCTCACCCACAGGCGAAAACAAGCGGGGCTGTTGTGCTCTCATTCCAGCCCGATAAGCTCCCCACACACACACACACACAAGCACGCACTCTGCCTCTCGTTCCCTGCCCCCGTGTTTCGTATTTGAGTCATCGTCCTAAAAACAACACAGCAACAAAGCGAACTCCACTTTACTACACTCAGAAAAAGTTGTGAAACCAAAACAAGCAATTTAATACCTAAGAAGAAGTTGTATTCCTTTAAAATTTCTCTTTGTAAAAAACTTATTTATTAAATATTATATTAAAACTCCAAATAAAACACTAAAAACATTATGAAAGGCAAATGAAATTTTTCTCAGTGCCTCACCTCTCTCAGTGGAGCTTCTTCTTCTTTTGGCGCTGCGTTCATTGATCGCCAAAGCCAATTGCTTCGAGTTGTGTTGAGTTAAGTGCTGCGTCAACGTTGTTGACTTACATACTCACAGAGGCACTGCTGCCGGCACATACATATATAATATATATGTACATACATGCATATCTTGATTGTCACCCCTCCCACCGCCCACTGGCCCGTCTCCCCTCGCCCACTCTCGCTCCATGTTTCTTCGATATCTTTCACCAATGGATTTTCATTTTACGCTTTATACGGCTCTAATTGAGTGCCTTCCAATTGGGTTATGGATTAATTTTTGTGCATAAATTAAATATCCATGGCACACACATGTCTCTCCATAAGCTTGTGTGTCTGCTTTAGGGGCATTTAGAAAGCAATTTCAAGTGGGCAGACGGAGAAAATGCAATTTTTCCACATACCTACAATGGTGGTGAAAATAATAATGATAAGAACAATGTTAAAACAATTGTTATCTTAAAGATTTTTCTTAAGATTAATTAATCACTGGGTAGTATGAATATTTTCTGCAACGTTTTGTTAATAAAGACCTTATCCAATATTTATTTGATATACACTTTCGTATCTTATCTGTCATATCTTTATTTTTGCAACCAACACAATATTATCTTCTTTGCTACTTTATATGGGTGAATGGATCGTTTTTAATAGGTCATTTTTTTAAATAAAAAAATGTTTATCTTGATCTGCAAAACTAAGGAGAATATGATATTATATATAATATATTATCTTATCTGAATACCCTATATCTTGTTCAGAATTCATATGTCTCGAAAATGTTGTTTATATTTGTCCCATAGTTGAGATCCTATAGTTTCCACCACAATTGTATGTACTTAAAATATTTTTATAAATGTATGTTGCCTGAATGTATTGACATATAGGGTGCGGCAAAATTTTGGGAATCGCGTGAGTGGAATTTCGGGCAAGAACCACATAGTAGGTACCCTGTAAAAAATTAAAAACCACCCAAATGCGAAACTCTTTTTAATTGGCATTCTCACCGTACTGCAAAAGACCCCCCATATATCTAGGCATCTAAACAATGGCAAGAGTAAACACTTTTAATTGTTTGCGG